TACTTGCCAAACAGAAATTAATCATGGGTGACAATCATGCAGCTAATCAGTTTTATGAACTGATACTTATTAAAATAAGTATTTTTTCATCTGACTGACATCTTGGCATATTTGATGCACAAAATCTATCATAAATACCTGAATAATTCATGCATAAAGCCATGTTAAAATAGTACATTAGAGAAACTTTAACAAACATATGAAATGCTTTATGACTAGTTCAGAATGAATTAGTCTATATAGTGAAATACCATGTAAGAATTGCTCTAACAGTGTGCTCAAAAGAAAGTGATTTTTTTCATAAAGCAACAAGAACATAACACCATTTATGAAGGAGTGTAAAAATCCAAATCTTCCAACCTCAAATTATTATGGGTGACAGAATGCTTGTCACATCACCAGTTACAAAAGAAATACTTATTTATTCACTTTTCTTATTTTCTCTACTTGCTTTCCTTTTCTGTTGTATTGTCTTTAGTTCTGTCATTACGTTCACTGTTTTATAAACCCAAGCAATCTGAAAAACAAAAACAAATTATGACAAGTGAAATACAATTCCTAATAGTGTTCTGATTCTCCAAGGGCCTCTCTTTATGCACCCAAATCTCCAGATATAACAGAAGGCGCCATCAAGCTTGGTGAAACCCAATATCTGAAGTACTGACAATCTTTCCAAATGAGAACAAAACCTCATTACTGAGTACAGAATGCTATCAGAATGGTGGTGAGAGAGGACAATAACAACCACCATCACAAACTTCCCGGAGTGTGTAAATGATCTAAAGCAAGAGTTGACCAAACGGTGACTACAGACCCCAAGACATCTGTCATCCTTCAAACAGTCCAATTAGATATAAACGTTACTTTTAAACAGACAAATTTGCATCACATTTGAGCATTCTTGCACCAAGGGTAGTGGATTTTGCAACATTCTGATACTGAAAAAAGGGGGGAAGCCTAGATCGTGGTGTCAAATCATGTGATGATACCTATGAAGGAAAACACGGCGATAGTCAGAAGCAGATCAGCGCCCGCAGTCACCTTTCCTGAGTCCCTTAGAGAAACAATAAATGCCCCTGTTCATGAAATGCTCAGAAGGCAAAAGAATGTTGATAATCTTGAGGAAGGATACTTTAAAGTGAGAAAAGCTACGGAGAGCAAGGAAAGGGAGGTAACCCTCAGGGAGAAATAACTCACGAAGCAGTAATTTTTATTTTAAAACACATGGCCTTTGTTTCTTCAATAAAACACTCTTTGTAGTTCTACCCTAATCACCTCACTACTCCTGACCTTACAGATTACAGGTATATTTTAATTTGCATAAGCCTATATAAGGGGGTTGCATTCCTGACCCTTCTTAGGTTCGCTATTGAGCTTCTGGTATTGAAATAAACACAATTTGTCTTTCAAAAGGATGAGTATTGCTGGTCTCCATTACTAACACACTTCAGTGGTCCAAAAAAGTGACCATGCTTTGATATAAAGCCATGAGTCTCTGCAGTGGGAGCAACTGATGTCACATGTGTCAAGATATCACTCCAATGAGGCAAGGGACATAATTTGCGTCATGATTATAGCGGCTACTAATAAATGCCTCGGTACCAAATATCATGAAAGGGTCAGCAGACGCCCTGAACAGGAACTTTCCACAATGAAACATTTTGTTCTGGTCCCTTTTGTATTTCGACTCGATGCCAACATTTTTAAGGCAAGAGATTAGTACGTACCACTATGAAGATGGCATTTAGCAGTAATGGTGTTGAGAACACTAATGAAATAAACATTCCTCGGGAATCAAAGTACTGGTGCTTTGAGAACAATCTGCAAATGAGCAAAAATAAAAATAAGCATCCTTGGTGAAAATAATGCCATAAAAGATGGCAGTGGATTAAACAAACTAAAGACTGTATTCCAAATTGAAGCATCTTTTAAGACAATGTTTCTCAACCTTGGCCCCTTGAAGATGTGGGGACTTCAACTCCCAGAATTCTGGGAGAATTCAGAAACACTGTCTTAAGAGATAAGATTCTACTCCTTAATTTTAATACCAAAAGTCTGAAAACTGTTTTTCCAGGTTAACACCTGCTTTGTGCCACTTGTACTTTGCTGCCCCCTCCTGAGCATTTGGCTCAGTTTAGCCACACAAGGTGGCAGGGGTCTCCAATAACTGCACCCCTAAAATCATGTTTGCAGCGCTCTTGCTGTTGGGCCTTGGCGTCTTCTATCCGGAAGCCCAATGATGCAAACATTGAGCACAAGACAGCCATTGGAAAGGAAAACCCCACCGGTCAGGGAATTTCAATTGGTGGGGTCTAGGCAGAGAGCCTTTTCTGCTGTAGCGCCCGCCCTATGGAACATCCTGCCTCC